GATTTCAGCCGTGTATCGGCTGAAATAAGCCGAACATTGGGTGGCTTTGTGTGGCTTCGGGTCGGCTGAACATGCTCAGCATGTTCAGGCGACTCGAAGTGCAGAAGGAGTTTCACATCTGGATCGGCTAACCTGAACCTTCGGCAGGCTACTCGCTGCTGTTCGGTCTATTCGAACAGCAGTGAGTAAATAGCTTCCCTCTGTGGGACTGAGCAGAATAGCAAAATAGTTAAAAAAGTAGAAGAAAGACAATAGAAAACGATCGTGCGGAGCTAGCAGTGACAGCTAGCTCCGCCCAACTGTTTTCTATTGGCCGGGCGGTTCTGCTGCCGTCAAAAAAAAAAAAAATAACCAAAGGAATGCATAGCTAGATTCCTAGTGGATATTTCAATTTGCAATAGCCAATAGCAAACTAGCTATTGCACCCGCCCTCTGCTGCTGTCAATCACTAGTGGGGACCTGATGGAGAACTGCAGGTCCCCTCTGCTGATTGACAATCGAGCAGAGTAAAACTTTCCTTTAGAAAGTGTTTCTCTCCTGGGCGGTCGGGAGCCTCTATCTAATAGCGGGAGACTCCCGGAGACCCGGGAGAGTTAGGCTGTTTAGAGATCAGTGTCCCTAGTTACCTTAGCTGTCAGAAGCAGGCTGTCGACCGGCCAATGGCCAGTCGCTCGACCAGCTTCGGCTTTCACCTCGGTTCAGTCGAGCCGAGGCATATGCCTTCAGCACGACTGAGCCGCTCGGCCCACTTCGGGAGCTGTACGGGCTATAGTGAATAGCCTGTACAGCAGCCCTTCGGTTCTACTGAACCGAAGGGGTCCTGGTGCTGAAGCTAGCTGAAGCTACGGCTAGATCCTTCGGCAGCTTCGTGAATAGACCCCTAGGTATCAGCTTTGTCCCTGTACAGCAGATTGGGAGATAGAAGCAGCACAAGAAGCCTTTCAGGTGTGTTGCTGATAGCATGCTAATAGTAGGAGAGAGAAGAGTGACTAGGGGCTGGGTTGAATTTACTCTCTCTGCTGCCCCAAGGCCATGTCTCTGAATGAATTTTTTACTTTTTTATTATTTATCAATTTTTATAATTATTTTTCTTATTTTTTCTACTTTTTAATCACCTTTTGAATTTTATTTTAACTATTATTTCTTATAATTTTCATTAATTTAAATGTTTTTATTCATTTTTTTTCCCACTTAACTTTATGGCTATCACACAGGAGCTAATAATCCCCTGTGTGATAGCATTTGGAGGTGACAGGTTCTCTTTATTGAACCTGTCACCTCCAATACACAAGTTCTAGCTCATCACTGTGCTGGAACTCCTGTGACAACCGAGAGGGGAAGGCTGTGAGGGCAGCTCTCCCCTCTCAGCGTTTACATGGAGCAGAGCGGAGAACGGACGTTCTCAGCTCTGCTCCCCACTCTTCATCCTGAGGATCTCAGGCCAGGGGGGAGAGAGGTCACTTACAAGAGGGGTAGGGAGGGGTGGTGGGGGGAGGAGAGTCGAGCAGGCTGCATACAAGTGATCTCGGGGACATCGCCAAGATCACTTGTAAACAAATGAGCAGCTATCCAGATCTCCTGAGACTAGAATTCAAAGGCTGCAGTGCCTTAGATCCCTATAAATATTCAATCAAACACATGAGTGCCTAGGCACCCTCACCTAGCAGGAAGTGCACTATTACTTTTCAGGAGCAATTCAGTGCAAAAGGTAAATCTTCCAGGGTACTGCTTAGGCACAGTTAACATTATAACACAGCAGATTTTCATTTTCTCAGTTCAGGTCCACTTTAATGCATATAAATGCACAAAAATGCAGCAATGTCTATTTTTGTAAAGATGCACTGATCTGCAGAGACAAAAAAAATCAACTGCGCCCACAATGTATTTTTTAGTTTTGGTGGGAGTAAGGAAAAATTATAATCAAGTTTTCATTGCTGTACCTGCTGCTGAGATTTTATTTCACTTCCTGTCCTATAGACCAAAGTGTCTCCACCGTTGGATTGCAATAAAAAGCAGTGACTCACAGCGGCCGCAGGCCAATGTTCCATGTCATACTGATTGAGAACACCGGTCATATATGATTAAATAAAAAGTTCCCACTGCGATTTATTTTTCAGTTCTTGTCCTTGTGACCAAAGAAGAGGTGAGGAGATCTCCCTAGTGGGGTAACAGACAGATATAGAAAATTTGGGTGTGCAAGCAGCTAAGAGCCAAAAGCAAAAAGTATAAAGTCCAGATCTAATTATATCATAAAAAGACAATATTTTTCAGGGGTTTATAGGCTCCCCTTTCATCAGAACATTTATAGAGTGTACTGGACTGTTAAAATTAGAGGCATCCTGAGGGGTAATTAGCACTGCTTAACCAGAAACTGGAGTGATCATACTAATTACTCCTCAGGATCCCTCTATTTTTATCAGTCTAGTACATGCTTTATTCAAAAGTACCGAGTCCTGTTGAAGGAGGACCCTTTGAGCCCCGAAATGTGTTGCATTTATATGATACTAAATAAAATGAACAGGGTTATTCACAAAAGGGTGAAGAGTTTGGAGAAGGCAGGAGAAGTGAACAATCTAGGACAACATAGCTGAACTGGAAAGTGAGCTGAATTAGAGAATTTTTCCAAATCAGCTATTTTGGCCCAGATTGTTCACTTCTCCTGCCTTCTCCAAACTCTTCACCCTTTAGTGAATAACCCTGTAAATCTGGACTTTATACATTCTGCTTTTGGCACTCTCCTCTTTGCATACCCAGTCCCTACTGGAGCAAAGGGCCAACGTTCGGTCACCACTCCCCGGAGAGCTGAGCAAGGATAGTCATTCCTGCTACACTGCTGAAGACCTGATGGAGACACCTCTTACTGCTTTAAGAAGTTAAGCAGCACCCCACACCTTTCTTTTATTTACACTACTAAAAAAGCTGACAGAGGTTCCCCACTTTATTTTAAATAAAAAAGTTGTATTACTCTCTGTATCCCCCTTCCCCAACCCCTTGGTGAGGGGAAAATGTCCCACTGGCTTCAGAAACCTGATAGAGTTTCTAACTCTCCTCCAAATTGTCCAAACTTTAAAAATCAATTTCTTGTTCTCACGTGTTGCTCATTTTCATTATATTTGTAATTGTTTTACAAAGTTTAATGTAAATTCATAAACTTTTTGTGGGCATCACAGCTTTCATTTCCGCCGGTACACGACCAAATACTCTGTGTTTGCAGAGTTTCCACCTGCAGATGGCTGTGATTTCCCTTACCATCAGTCACCAATATGCCTCACAATTAACCGAGGACAGAAGATAAACTGAATCTCACAGTCCTCGCTGAGATCCTTCAAAAATAATATGAGCTAATCAGAGTTCTGCATGTGAGTTCCAACGTGTTGTGGAGATATTAATTATAGCCCAAGCCTAATCACCGCATGACTCTGATGTGAACCATTCATCAAACTGAGAAAGTTCAGGACTCGGGATGTGTGCTCAGCCTTCTGGTTAGCAGAGGTTAGGATGTGTTTGAGGGACATAAATACATCACTGACCTCTTAAAGGACCACGGTCTAATTAAAAAGTAGGCGATCGCTTTGAAATAAAGAGCTGGTGAAATCACAAAATGCAACCAATTAAAACTTTTACTTGTTATGTAGTTAGCAGGTATCCAAAACCCTCATAAAATCATGTGTTCTCTCCTAAACTTTACATAATGCCAGAACATTACTTTTAACCAGGGGTGTCCCTAAACCTTTCACCCCCTGAGGCGGGGGGAAGGTGCTGGTGGTGATGCTCACTGACGTCACTGGTTGCCAGGAGCTGGGCGGGACACCAACCAGAGCGTCCTGCTTAGCTCCTGACAACCAATGACATCACTGAGCTGGGGGGGGACACCCGACAGAGTGCCCCTGGTTGCTAGCAGCTCTTAGCAACCTGGTACGCTCTGGCCAGGCACACCTGCTGTCCCCCACACGTGACCCGATGAGATGCCGCCAGAGAAAACCTCCTCAGGCTGCCTCATGATATGGAAGACCCTGCTTTTAACCACTCAACACAGGAAATTTGGGCTGGGACCTTTTGCTATTAAGATCAAATGCCAATTTCAGAATTTCCCACCATTCCCCCAAACGATCACCGATCCCTAAACGAACACCTCACCTAAGGTTTATCATCTTAAAGTAAACATGTCCCTCCCAACTTTAACACTTAACCTACCCCTAACATTAACCCTTAGGGCTTGTTCACACCATGTCCGTGGAGCTGCGGTTTTCTGCACACCATCGAAAAAGGTTAGTCCATTCATGGGGATTTGTTTTATGAAATAATTAAAACAGAACTCCAGCTATGACGGCATTGCATTTAAAGAATACATTTACTGATATATTTATGATTACAGAGCTGCATTCATGTGTGTCCTTTAAATCTGCCTACAGTTCAGCTTTGAATTCTATTTAAAACTACATGCCCATCTAAGACGACCCTGTCCACAGGAAGACAACGCGGCTACATGATTTCAATGCAGAACAAACAGCGTTGCCATTCTTTTGAAGGATTGTTGATCTACTGGCAAGATCAGCAAGTAAAAAAACATGGGGGACTCAGGAAAACAAAAACTTGCATAGTTATTGACATTTATCACTAATGACAGACTGCATCGTATTTTTTATTTTTCTTATAGTTCCACATAATAAGATCTGTTTGAATTGCTCTGGCGTAGCCAACAAGATTAATGCATCCTTTCTCCAACCATCAATGTTTTATTGCAGATTTGATCCTGATTGGTTACTACTGGAAAGCTCAGGAGACACTTTTGTGAAGGAGAATGGTTTGTAATGCTCAGTGATGTCTAGCCATGCCCCTGACAAAAACACTATCTTTACATATATATCAGTTAGGCGCTGCAAGAAATTTCGATTTTCATTTGTTTTACAAAGCTTTCCATTTCACTGGCCTCACTGCGTATATCTTGAGCGCTGCGCTTACAGGGTACCTAAAAATAATGAATGGCAGTACAGTGTTACCTAAATGGGTAGGTGACTTGGATGTCAATGCGGCGGTCGCTCTGGGTTCTGTTGGCGCAGTCCACGCTGACTCTTAGTTCTCCGGAGTAACCACCACATGTTGCAAATGCAAAGATTGCAAAAAGCTGTGAAAGGAAGGGACAAATTAATTAGTTATACTTGTTTAAAGAAAAAAAAATACAACAGAAATGAGTTTAACCGTGGAGTGAAATTCTAAAAATGCGGGGTAAAAAGGGAATCGCCCACATCAGACAGAGCCTTTTCAATTCTTAAGATTACCACATAATTCAGTGAACCTGTGGCCAGGCAGTGAGCGTTTAGGTATTTACATACGGTATTCTTCTCACTGACCTCTGTAGCTGCAGGCACTGTGGATCAATTTATCCTCAAAGGTTTCAGCAGAAGCACTGAAGTTGTTCAAGATGTTCTTTAAGAAGTTCAGCTCAAATTCTCATCAGTGGCTCATCAGCTCAGATTACCATGCCCGTAAATAGATGCAACGATAAATAGATGCAACGATAACCCCCAGCATTGGTGTTAGTAGATGCAATAATAACCTCCAGCATTGGTGTAAGTAGATGCAATAATAACCCCCAGCATTGGTGTAAGTAGATGCAATAATAACCCCTAGCATTGGTGTAAGTAGATGCAATAATAACCCCCAGCATTCGTGTAAGTAGATGCAATAATAACCCCTAGCATTGGTGTAAGCAGATGCCATAATAACCCCCAGCATTGGTGTAAGTAGATACAATAATAACCCCTAGCATTGGTGTAAGTATATGCAATAATAACCCCTAGCATTGGTGTAAGTAGATGCAATAATAACCCCCAGCATTGTTGTCAGTGGATGCAATAACAACCCCCAGCATAGGTGCCAGTAGATACAACAACCCCCATCATTGGTGTTAGTGACCGCAAATAATAACTCCCAGCATTGGTGTTATTTGGTAAATCAGAGTTATTGACCATTATTTACTATAGTAGGAGAGCATTTTCACTTTCATAGTGGTTTTTTTTTTGCTTTTCAAAGGAAATGTTTACTTAACTTAGTGAATGAGGTGAACGCTTTCCATAGACATAAAACAATATTTTATATTAGAATAGCCATCTAGTCTCCAGCCCTTTGTTAAGAAAAAGAAGATTCCAGGTTACTTATTAAAAATACATGAATGAGTTCTGAGCTATTTTTTAAGGTCCTCCCCAGACGCTAACACTAACTGCATTAACACTAATGGACCATTGATGTATTTCAATAACTGCATTGGTTTCAATAAATGATATTCTGTAAAGCAACTTATTTAAAAACAGAAGTATGGAGTGTATGTCCCAGAGGTGAACACTATAAACACTCATGTTTATGAGTTAAAGCTGAATTCCAGACAGTGATACTCAAATATTGTTCAAACACAAATTGTATGTTAATTCTTACTTAAATGTTGTTTTTGGTTTATTTCTTCCTTTTCTGTGCAGTAATCCAGCATGAAAACTCCTGCACTTTGACTCTGTGTTGGAGCTTCCTGCATTAAAGACTGGTCACCGCTCAGCTCTTCTCCCTCCTTGTGCAGGGTGACTAGTCTTGTCTCCGCCCCCTCCTGCAGTTTTCTGCAGACAGCCTGTAGTGGGTGGGGCCTCCCACAGCTCTGATTTCTGGGCAGGATATGTACAACACAGTGATGATGTCATTGCTACTGGCATATGGTGATATCTGTGTTTACAAAGGCATTTATTGCACACAAAGCCGATTCATATATTTCGTAGCTATTGAGGAATCAATGGAATGCTTTTTCTGGAGTTTAGCCTTAAGAAAACTAAATTGGTATTCTTGGTAAAGTTGGTTTAAAGAAGAACTCCAGGTAATTTTTTCTTAACCCTTGCAGTGGAGCTACCCCCGCACTGCAAGGGTTAAGTGCTTGTTTTTGTCTAGGTGCCAAAAAAACGGACCGGTCCCTGGAGCTTCTTGCCCCCTCCGCTGCAGCGGTCCAAGGATCCTTGAATCATCACGTTCTACACAAAGGGGTCTATTCACGAAGCAGCCGAAGGATCTAGCCGTAGCTTCCACCGATGCATCGGCTAGCTTCGGCCCCAGGACACCTTCGGTTCAGTAGAACCGAAGGGCTGCTGTACGGGATATTCACTATAGCCCGTACAGCTCCCGAACTTGGTCGAGCCAAACGCATATGCCTCGGCTCGGCTGAGCCGTGCTGAAAGCCGAAGCTGGGTGGAGCCAGCCGTGATCTTACTGCAGGCTCCGGCCACTTTCAGAGAGATCAGCGTCCCTGGTTACCAGATAACCAGGGACACTGATCTCCAGACAGCAAACTCTCCCGGCGCCCCAGGAGTTCCCACTCCCGGCCGCCAAGGAGATAAACACTGCATTTTCTTTTTTTTCTTTATTCTGACACAGAGCCGTGTCAGAATAGAAAAAATAAATAAATAAATTTTTGGCCATAGGAATGCATTGCTAGATTCCTATTGGCTATTTCAATTTGCAATAGCCAATAGCAAACTAACATTGCACCTGCCCTCTGCTGCAGTTCTCTATCAGGTCCACCACTACTGATTGAGCAGCAGAGGGCAGGTACAATAGCTAGTTTGCTATTGGCTATTGCAAATTGAAATAGCCAATAGGATTCTAGCAATGCATTTCTATGGCCAAATTTTTTATTTTTTTTTCTATTCTTACACGGAGCAGTGTCAGAATAAAGAAAAAAAAGAAAAAGCAGTGTTTCTCTCTCGGGCGGCCGGGAGGGGGAGACTCCCGGAGCGCCGGGATAGTTTTTTTTTTAATTCTTTCGGCTGCCTACGGCAGCTTAGTGAATAGACCCCCATGTCTTTACTACCCTGGATGTGTAGGACCCCAATGCCCTCTCTCCCCAGCATGAAGATGTTAATAAAAGGTATTCAGCATTGTACTACTGGAGTGGACATCAACTTTGTGGGCACTGGAAGAGGGCAGTTAAATGTTATTGGGGCAGCTGAAGACCAAAACCCCTAGACAACTAGTGATGACCTGGGTTATTCTGGCGGCTCCTTCGGGGGTGAGTGCTACAGACACAAATGATAAAAAACACAGGCAGCAATAAACACCTGAAAGCGGGGCTAACCCTTCCGTACTCTATCCAAAACTTGACTCGGTTCAAACACTTTTGGGTATACATGTTCTTTAAGAGCCTCCAGTACTTTGTATTTTCAGGACCAGTATGTAAGTTTACATTCAGATCAGTTGCAGTATGTTACGTCGCAGCAACTTATTACTTGCACTCTTTATGCAGTTTGCTGGAAACTGCACTAAAGATGTAGCAAGTAGGAAGGACGTTTAGGTTCACCACTTACATGAGTTTTCCCCGTGATGTATAAAGTTAGCGAATAGCAAACTTTTGGGTGAAAAGTTTGCAGGTTTAGTGCCAGAGATAGTGCATTACTAATAATGCAGTGCATAGTCTCTTCCCTGGTTAGCAAGAGACAATATTTTGAAAGAATCGATAACCCAACCCCTTTTCTGTAAATATGTGGGCTCGCGACAGCCATATTGTCAATGTGTGTGGAGTTGTAGGAAGCGATACGGGGGCGGGGGGGATTTATGAAGCAGACAAAATCTGGAGCCAATGCCCAGGACAACCCATCAGCTTCTCTCTCCAGTTTGTTCAGTTAAGATTTGAAAATAAAAAAGAGAAGCTGATTGGTTGCCATGCACAGCTGCTCCATTTTTTTGTCTGCGCCAGTTTTGATGAATTCTCTTGACTGTCTTTTTAAAATTTGTTTTATTTATTCATTTGTCATTTTGTTTGACAATAGATTACTTAAAGTAAAGTAAGTAATAGATTACTTACAGAAATGCCCCCCATAGATTTAAATAGGGTTTGCCACAAAATTTGCACACTGCAAGAAAAATTTGCGAACTGTTCCCAAACTGAACCCAGGCAGATTGACTCATCCCTGACAGCAAGCAGGATTTTTTATGTACTGAACTAGATTGCAGTAACTGTCTCTGTATCAATAAATTCCTGACATGTCACAATTTACAGCAACAGCAACATTTTTTAAAAACTCTACCATATATCATTACAGGCTGGTTTACATCATAGTGCTGCACTAAATAAACAGGATCCATGCATTTAGTGCATACTATTGCACAGTACATGGTGTCACATGCTACTTTTTACTAAACGCTAACACAATGCAAGTTATTGCAATGTGGTGCAACACACGCCTACCAGGTGCACAGACGCGCCATTGAGAATGAATGGCAACACAATGCACCAGTGCACCTAGGTACTGTGTGATAGCATGTGCTAGATACACGGATTCCGCAGGTTTAGAGTAATGCTATGGTGTGAACCAGCACTAAAGCAGCCCCATCTTATACAATAATTAGCAGCATGAGAGCATGTTACTGCAGGAGGTGATGTTACTATCCTTCCGGTAACATTTTTTTTTGTAATACTGAGTTCCCCAAATCTCACAAGCAGATGCCCCAGCAGAATGCAGGAACATCATGAGATTTAGGATACTCAGCATACTTAGCGGATACTCAGGATTTTGTCAGAAGGATTGTGATGTCACTCTTGCATAGATGCTGCTGGCAGAAGCCAGAGGTTAGGTAAGTATATTTCTCTACAGGTTTTTTTTTGTACTTTCACGTTGTTAATTATTATATGGGAGGTGACCTAAACATAAAAAGCAGTCTTATGACTCTACTCAGTCTGAAATATTGACATCAATGATGTCATCAGGCATTTCCTCAGTCTCCTCTCCCCCAGTGATCAGACTGTATTTGTGAACAAACTCAAGAACTACACAGGCACTGGCATTTACATGACTGTGTCATCTCTGAGACCACTTGTAGATATTTGAAGAACGTCACCAGCACACCAGATTAATTACTGCATCAAATGTTCATTTATTGTCGTCTGCATTTATTGTCATCTGCCGTCTCTTGGTTGCAAGCGCTTTCGGGGCCTCACAGGGTCCCCTTCATCAGGCTCAGAGAAGACTAAGGTAAGGAGTGCAGCAAGTATCTTCCTTTTTTATCTCTGAGACCACATCTCAGTCAAAAAAGTAGATGCTGACCCTGGGTTATTTCTGAACAAAATTACATTTCTGTAGGCTTAGAGAGGTCAGA